AGGTAACAAGGGGCCCTCCTGGGTTGCCCCCCCCCCCCGTGATTGTGAGGGGGTCATCTGGCAGCCAGGAGAGAGCTCTCTCTCACACTCACACACACGACACACTCATCCCCACCTCCCCTGCTCCATGGGAGGCAGAAGGTCCTCCTGGATCTACGACTGGCCGAGGCGTGTGTAATTTTTAATAAGTGGGCCCAAGGAGAAAGCTCCCGCTTTCTCAACAACCAAGGCGACCAAGAAACCGCCCACCCAAAATTATGCTGCTGAAGTGGGATGGGAAAAGCTTATAGTAAGCAGAAGTGTGGTGCTACTCCGAAGAAATTTTTGCATTTAAATTTATGCCTTTACTTTCTTCTCATGCTTAGGCTAAACCCAAAAAAGGAAAAAAAATAACCCCAAAAAAACCAAAGTCAGTCCAGCAAGAATGAGAACTGTTCGCTCTGCAAGAGATAACGATACCATTACTCTTCTTGACTGGGCTACTTTGGCCCAACTTACCAGGCGGGCAGCTTCAAAGGACATTACTAGTAAAGATCATCCCTGTGCTTTGCCCTCGGCCCACAGTCCTGCCTCCATGGCAGCAGGGGGCAAGGATGATGGTGGCCATTCGGAGACTAATGTTTTTGTTTGATATAGAACCATGAAGTTGGAAGGGGTCTCTAAGGCTATCGGGTCGAACCCCCTGCTCAAGGTGCTGCTGAAGGCACAAGGTGTGGTCCAGATCAAAGGACCTGTATAGACAGATGCAGTGTGTTTTAGCAGCTGTGCAGGATTTATGCTCCCGTAACCAAGTATTGTTCCCTTTCTCTCTCTCTCTTGGAGAAATTCCGGTGAACGCTTTTTCTCTTTTCTCTTGCACTTCCTACATAGAACACATTTCTCTTCTGAGGTCTGGCGTCCAGAGAGAACTCACCCACAACAGGGTTTAGATTCCCTGTCCTCCTGTCATCTTTTCAGAGCCTTGGATTTGCCTTTGCAAACCCAAGGGGCTTGTGTTTCGTTTTAGTGATGGTGGGGTAGACTATTGAGCCAGGAGAAGATGCGTGCACCTCTAGGGTTTTGTCCACGGAGTTGTCGGCTGAGCCCGGTGCCTTTCCACCACCATCCTGTGGCTGGCAATGGGAGGAAACACCAAGGAGGGGACCACCCTGGTCTGTGGGGTTAGGTTGGGCTTAGAGCTTGCTAGGGGGAGGGGGTGAAAAGGACAAGTGTGAGCGCCCAGCAACCTAGACATTTGGGGCAATTTTCCAAGCTTTGGCTCTGAGACCCTCTCATCAAACTCCCTGTCCTGCAGCAGCAGAGTCTTCTACGTCTTCGTGTTGCATTTGTGCTAATAGCATGAGTAAAACTGGCCAGGTTTCTTGAGCAGGCTGTCTAGTAAGTGAAGGAATGCTGCACTGACCCCTTTCAAGTAGATGGTGGGGAGCGGGGGGGGGTCCTCTCTGATTCTCAAGAACAGAGGTTCCTGAATTTGGATCCCCAGATAGTTTTAGACTGCAACTCCCTGAAACATGGCCCGTGGGCTGTGTTGCGCTAGGACTCCTGAAAACTGAAAGACTGAAAAAGACGTACGTTTAGATGCCCCCCTGCTCCAGAGTGTAAAAACAAGAGAGGGATCCGTGGTGGGGTGGGGAAGCCTCAGCTTGAGAAATAAAGATGAAAAAATGCAGGACCTCGTGTGTCTTATTCATAGGCTGTCTCGGGTGGGGCTGAGGGAGACTTATGAACTAATAAGTGGTAGGTAAGATCCAGAAGAAAAAACAAGTGCTTGCTCTGAAATGGCAGACAGTCAAGCATCTGCTCTTCCATGGTGGCACCGTGTGTGCACAGAGCGTACTCCTCGAAATACACCATGCCACATCTTTGTCTTTCGTACATTGTGATTTGTAAAGCAAGTTTCCAGGTCTCGTGGCCTGAAGCGTATAGCTGGGAAGTTGCGCACCAGACAGCTTGTCGGCCTCAGTGCAGGGCTAAGCAAGCAGGAGAGTTGAGTCTTAACTCTTTGTACCCCGACCCTTTGGTGGTGATTTTTAATTGTTTTGTTCTTTCTCCTAGAAGGACGCTACTGAAGGGAGACTACCCTTTTCCTCCTTGGCCTCCCCGCTTTGCTCCCTAGGTGCCCAAAGCCCCTCTCTCAAATGCCCTCATGGCCAAAATATGGTCTTTCTCTCTCTCTCGTAGGAGCTCTGGGATTATGAAGGAAAGCATTCAGGACAAGGAGTATTGGGGGGCACCCCCTGGCCTCCCTGACACGATGGGGCATCGGGATGAGATGTGCCAGCCCTCCCAGGCGTGGGGCGACCCTGAGCCCAAACACGGCGGCTGCTTTGAGGGAAACCGCCGCCTGGCCTACACCAAGAAGCAACCCCCTGGCTTTGGGCCTTTGTCCTCTGGCAGCGATGGGGAAGGACAAGGGAAGTGGGGCCTCGCCTCCAGTTGGGGAGTAGATGGCAACTCCCCCGACGTGGATCAGAACCAAGCCGGCGGCAGGAGGAAGGTGGCCAGGAGTGGGGGGCGCGCCTGGCCCTTTGACGTGGGGGCCGGCTCCAATTCCAGAGGGCACCCGCAGCTCTTGGGAGGCCCTTCTTCCAGGCGGCAGAGCTTCCGCCGCCGGCGCCAGAGGGCCCTGCAGGCCTTCCGGATGCTCCTGTACTCCAAGAGCAGCTCCCCGGCTTTCCATTGGAAACTGTGGGGCAAGATGGCCTTCAAGGGACGCCGGCGGTCTGGTCTGAAGCGGGCCCGGTCCTCCGTCTCCCTTTCCCCCAGCTCGCAGCCCGACGACGACCACCTTCCTCTGTACAAGAAAAGTTGCCCCTTAGCGGAAGTAGACTGCCCGGGCGGAGCCAAGCGGAGGCCCCTCCCCTCCCACTTCAAGGCCCGCTCATCCTCTGAGCCCCACCTGGACTACGAGCTGGATGGCGCCTTCCCCCGCTCTGCGTCCGTGCCGCAGACCTCCCACCTCAGTTTGCTGGGCGCCCTGATGGATGAGGCCTCCCCCTACCCTCAGTACGTGGAGCTGCAGAGGGTCAATTTTGACAAAGACCCTGGAGCCATGGAGCTGGAAGAAGAAGAGGAGGAGGAGGAGGAGGCAGTGCTCAAGTACCCTGGTGGGGGAGCCCAGGCCTCCCCGAGAACAAGGAAGATCGCAGAGGCAGCAGAACACGGCCTGGATGGAGAGGGAGGTAAACCTCACCCCGTGGTGCTGGCGGTGTTTTTGTGTGACAGCTGGGCTGTTGGATTAGAGCAAAGCGGGGTGTCGTTTAATAAAACCTGCAACATTTCTCCCCGTTTGTGGAGGTTGGGGCAAGTATCAGGATGTCGTGTGCAAAACTGTATTTCTCTTCCCCCCCCCCCAATTCGACTGCCCACAGTGATGCGCACCTACATTTGGGAAAGCTACTTCTTTAGACCACAGCTTGTAAGTGGAAGGGATTCTGGAAATTATGTTCTTCAAAAGTGCTGTGTAAATTTATGAGTTGGCCCCGCGTGGGGGGGGGGCGTTCTCCTTCTCGTCTCCACTTTGCACTGTTTGTTTACTGCATTTAGCTGAGCTCAGTATAAGTTACACAGATCCATAAATGGGCTGTATTTCTCTGGAGGGGCGCTCAGGACTAGGCCGCTCGTTAAAGTAATTTCATTGATAACTAGATGGGAAGAGAAGAAGAAAAGCCCTCAAGCTGAGGGTTCCAATTTGTAGATAGTGGTTCTGAAAGCCACCCACGAATGGTGGCCAGCCCAGAAGGCCGATCTCTCCGAAACGGAGGGTAGCCCTCTCCAGTTTCACCTCTCCTTCAGGGGGCACCCATGTGGAATGGATGGTGCCCCGATGCGCAGCGACAGAGTACCCGCCCTGTGCAGGAAAGGTCTTGGTCTCCCCAAGTAAGGCCACGCCTGCTTGAAACCCTGGAAAGTGAGTTCAGGCAATGAGAGTCACATCCCTGAGTGGGATTAATCCACCCCTGAGTGGGTATAGAGCAGTGGTGGCTAACCTTTTTGGGCTTGCGTGCCCAAATGAGGGGGAAGGGAAAAAAAAACAGCAGGCGGCATATCACAGCAGTGGCGGAACCAGAAGTGGCAGCAGAAGGGGGAATCCCGGCACGGAGGTGCCTCAAGACCCCACTCTGGATCCACTGCCAGTGCCAGTTGCTCCAGATCCGCCTGCTGAAGCTCCAGCACCGCGGCTGCAGCCACCTTCTCAGGTTTGGCTGTTTGGGGAGGGGGGAGCAGCGATCTGGTGACTTATGGCTCGTGTCCCGACAGAAAGGGCTCTGCATGCCAGTTGTGGCACGCATGCCATAGGTTCGCCATCGCTGGTATAGAGCAATGCCCTCTGATCCTAAACAGCTGAACACTGTGGTCTAAAAGCAAGACTTTCTAAATCCCCTTGTCTTGCTTGCTACAGGCCCGCTGGATGCTCTTCCCAACGGTTATGCTGCCCTCACTCCCGACGGCGACCTCTGCTCCCTGCCGGGAGTCGCCGATGCCACCATCCTCATCAGCAACGTCTGTAGCATCGGCAGCCAGGCGGCCGAAGAGCTCTTCCAGGGCCCTCGGGACAAGGACTGGCTCGAAACAGGGAGCCAGGAGGCGGCCGCCGAGAGCAGCCAGGAGAGGCTTGGCGAGAAAGCAGCCCAGCACAGCCCCTTGAGGGAAGAACACATCACCTGTGTGCACAGTAAGGCTTGTGTGTATGTGTGTGTGTGAGAGAGAGAGAGAGGTTGGGACAGAGGGCGAAGCTGGGCTGCCTAAAGAAGCCTCCCTCATTGCCCAAAAGAAAAGGGAGGGAGGTGGGAGCTTCTGGAAGCGGAGCCTTCCCCGTCCTCTGGCACCAGACTTGGCCCTGGGCTTGGCTGAGAGGAAGGGATCGGAGGAGGGGAGAGAGAGAGAGACCAAAAGGTTGCTGCGGAGGAATGGGGTGCTTTTCTCAGACTGCCCTTCATCCTCAGAAGATGTCCTGAGGTAGTCTGGAGGCTCCTCACTGAGCTTAAGAGGCAGATGGGAATCTGTCGGCTCTCAGGGATGCTCAGGACTAAGAGAGGAAGAAGCGCAAAGCAGGAAGAACCAAACGGGATTGTTGGAGGGAGTGTCCATGTGACTCTGGGGCAGGGCGGAAAAAATTTCCCGAGGGTCTTGTGGCATCTGGAGAACGGGCCACCAAACTGGGTGCCAGATAAAACTGGCCGGATTTTAAGGCGCCCCCGAGGCTTTCTGTGGCCTCGCCCTTCTCTGCTGCACTGGGACTGGGGGAGTGCAGCTCTCCTCCTCTCACACCAGGGGCTGCGCAGGGCTCGGGGTGTCTACAGGTGGGGCCCAAAAACATCTAGATTCTAGGGGACCACCCACTTATTCCTGCCGCACATATATTCCTAAGGAAGTTCACGGGTTAAAGAGGACCATCAAAACCGTCAGCCCGGCGTAGTAACCATCACAGACCTGCTTGGAGTCTATATCAGTGCTTTGAAGCGTTTGCTTATTCCGTGGTGCCTCCCTCTCCCACCCCCCCCCGAGACATGCCTGTGGTGGACCCCTGGTTTCTTGGCAGACCGTCCCCTGTGTCCACGCAGTGCCAGGGATCATGCCTGTTTGGCTCCAGGCTCTTTTCTGGGGCGCCCGAGGGAGGCGTCTCCCTTCCCCGCTGTCTCAGCCGGGTTCCCGTTCCAATGGAGCCGGGTGAAGTAGGCTTGTGTCGCTTCAGGTTTCTCTCTCTCTCCTGTCTTCCAGACATCCTGGACGAGTTCCTGCAGACGTACGGTAGCCTCATCCCCATCAGTGTGGACGAGGTGGTGGAGAAGCTCGAGGACATTTTCCAGCAGGAATTCTCTACGCCTCAGAGGTACGGCCTTGGTTTTCTCACCCAGAACCCACACCCTCCTTTTTAAAATGAATCAGACCAAAGATTTTGGGGTTGGTATCCAAGGTGTCAGCTTTGTTCAGACATGAAAGATATTCATTGTGCGGAGAGGTTTTCCCCCCTCCCATCACGAGGAGTCTGGCGGCGCTGCCAGGTTTCGAATGAGTTGATTTTGGTCTGGTTTTGATCATGGGGAGGCCATCATCGCAGGTTTCATGGGCAGGCGAACTGTGCAGGCACAACCAGTTTGAAAGGGCGCATCGCTGGAGGAATGACGTTTTCATTGCCTGCTGATGGCAAAGTCGATGCCTTGTGTAGCTGTGCTCTTGGTCTCTGGCCCAGGGGTCTCTGCCTGGCATCCACTGGCCAGGTATATGTGTGACAGACTGCAGCTGATGAGTGCATGGAGATGATCCTGGGTGGGTGAAGCTGGGTGGGATCAGGTGGGTTGGGTGGGCCGGTTGGAGTCCACCCCAAGCCCCCCCCCCAATTGTGATGCCCTCAGATTGACTTGAGTGGAAGGAAGCATGCTGAAACAATAGGGCGAGGCCCTTTGCCCACCGGCTTGGAACATAAACAGCTGATTCATGTAATGCAGCAATTCTTAAACCTTTTTAGGAGGGGGACCGCTGTGAGAATTTTATCAAGAGTGCTGCATAAACCTGCAAAATTTTGTTTACTGTTTATTTATTTAATTAGCACATAACATAGTTAACAGATCTGTGGAAGCCCATGCACAAACAGGGCTCTTTGGGCCACAGGATAAGAGCCCCAGCGATATTGTTCGAAGCAAACCTGGGTACATTTTTTTAAAAAATGAAAATGTTGACATTCTCCAAATGTTTGATGTTTAGTGATTCCAACTGGGAAAAGCTGTGCCTTTGGATGGGATTGTCCAGATGCAGGCAACAGTGTTGGTTGTCACTATAAAATTCAATTACTTCATTACTGGTTTGCCTTTTTTTAAAAAAAAGTCTGCCCCCTTGGAAAACCTGATAAGGTTGAAAAGTGGAAGAAAAATCTATGAAATACGGCAACACCTTTAAATATATTTCAGCACACAAGCCACATTCCATTTCCGGGAAGTGGGGAGAGGAGGAAAGAAAAGGAAAAGGCTGGGCCTGGAAATGGTAGGATTGGTTCCCTCTTCAGGCTCTCACTGAGCCTTCTGAGGGAGCTGTTTAGAATGGGCCAAAAAGTTTTTTAAAAATGGCCTGGCAAGAGCTGGGAGAATCGCTAGGGTAGGTGTCAAGATGGGGAAGGAACTCAGCGAGAGCCCATTTTGGCTCTAGGGCCAGAGATCCCAGACCCGTCCTAAAAGGGGCCGTTCTTTTTTTGTTTCTGTGGCCTGACAGGAAAGGCATGGTGAACCAGCTGATCCAGTCATACCAGCGTATGCCCGGCAATGCCATGGTCCGGACCTTCAGGGTCACTTACAAGCGCCATGTGGTCACCATGGATGACCTGCAGACCCTCTATGGGCCCAATTGGCTCAATGACCAGGTATGGTGGTGAGTGTGTGTGAGAGAGAGAGAGCATGGTGGTAAACCTAACCCTCAGGATTTTGCACGAAGGAAGCAAGGTTAGCAAAGATAGGGGATTATAATATTCCCGACTGAGTAGGGGTGTCAGGAGTACAGTGGTGCCTCGCATTACGATCGCTTTAACGATGAAATCGCATTACGATGAACTTTTTGCGATCGCTTTTGCGATTGCAAAACGATGTTTCCTATGGGGGAATTTCGCTTTGCGATGATCCGTTCCCTGCTTTGGGAACCGATTCTTCGCAAAATGACGATTTTCCAACAGCTGGTCGGCAGTTTCAAAATGGCCGCCGGGTAAATAAAATGGCTCCCTGCTGTGTTTAGGGACGGATTCCTCGCAAGACAGGCAGCGAAAATGGCCGTCCTATGGAGGATCTTCGCTGGACGGTGAGTTTTAAGCCCATCGGAACGCATTAAACAAGTTTTAATGCGTTTCTATGGGCTTTTTAATTTCGCTTTACGATGTTTTCGTTCTACAGCGATTTCGGTGGAATGAATTAACATCGTAATGCGAGGCACCACTGTATTCCGTCACATGGCTGATGGGGCTGCCTTTGAAGATGGTCTAAGAACTTTTGTTAGTGCCAAACTCTGACAGCAAAACTAGGAATGGCGTCTGTGAAGCCCTGGGCTCCGAGGTTTGGCCAGATGATAGAACGGCTGGTGGCAGGTGGGGGGGGGGAGTGCTCTGAGTCCCACCTGTTTAACCCGGGGGGGGGTAGGGGAGAGAAGGCTTTTTCCTTCTGAATTAATTAGGCTGCTAAAACTCTTGGTATGTAGGACCTCTGGTCTAGATTTCTGCTTGGCTGTATGGGTCACCCCCATGTGTGGTTCACAGAATATGCACATTATTCACTTTGGCCATGAGCTGCTGTTTCATATGCAGTTTGGGTTGGTGGCCCCTGGAGGTGAAGAGCAAGAGAAGAAAGAAGCAAGTTTCTGCCATCTTGATTTTCTTTATTATGTATTTACAAGTACCTATAAGCTGCTTAAATATGAAAACTTTAGAATTTTGAGCAATGTACAGGAGTAATGAAAAACAGTATCTACAATGTACAAATAAATAAAAAAGAATACACAGCACAAAGCCTGACTCCCAGCACTGAAAAATACAGCCTGCAAAAAGGTCAAGGAAGTCTACCCAGCCACAAGGACCGGTCATCACTGCACACAAAAGACTAGTTAACGACACCCATCAACCACAGTGGCAGATCATTTCCCCCCCTTATCACAACAAAACACCCATAACAATAAAACACCCTGATCACCATAATCACCCAATCTCCTGAAAACAAAAACCTGATCCCACAGCTTCAAATACTCAACTATCCCACATACTACCCCAGAACACAGAGTTCTGACTCCTATCCTCTGAAGAGGCCAGCCACAGAGACTGACAAAACACTAGGAAGAAAAACCTCCAGAACACAGCCAAACAGCCCGAAAAAACCCACAGCAACCAATACACAGTATGCTGATAAACATATTGATGTGCAGTATTTAAGTCATCTTTGAAACAGATGTTAGATTGATATACATGCTTAATCTGCGCACTGAAAATTGTAGGCACCTGTCAGATTTGTGTTGTTATGTTGTCAAGTTGCCGCTGATTTATGGCAACCCTACGGGTGAGCAACCTCCAAAATGTTCCGTCCTCAACTGCCCTGCCCAGCTCTTGCAAGCTTAGGCCTGTAGCTTCCTTGAGGGAAGAACAGTTCCACGGGGTGGGGGCCACAGTGGTAAAGGCCCTGCTCTGAACAGCGGGAGAGAAGATCCCAGGGGTGTCCTCGGACTCTCCAGGCAGCTTTTTAAAGGAAAGGGATGGAGGTGAGAGAAGGCGACTGGGATCCATGTTGTGATTTTTCCGTGTGCCTCTAGTGAGAAGATTGTAGGTACGGTACTTTGGCGGATCTCTTCCACCCACCTTTTCTCTCTTCCGGGCAGGTTATGAATATGTATGGGGATCTTGTCATGGACACCGTACCAGAGAAGGTGAGCTTCTGATCTTGATTTTTCTCCTTGTGACCTACTTTTATGGAATACAGTGGACCCTCAACCTACGGAATTAATCTGTATTGGAATGGTGGCCACAGGTCGAAAATTCCGTAGGTCAGGGGGCCATTTCTCATAAGAATGCATTGAAAACGCTTTAATCTGTTCCAACCAAATTTTAAACATCCCGGGCTTCCAAAGCTGCACCCTCTGCCTTCTGTCCCCTCTGCCTCGTGTCCCCACGTGGACAGGAGACAAGAGGGCAGCGAGGGCGACTTTGAATTTCCCGCCCTTCCCCCCTGCCCTTCGTAGGTTGCAGCTCCGGCCGCAAGTTGAACTAAAATTTTGCAGCCATAGCTTTTCGTACCTCGAAGTGTCCGTTCATAGGGACCTTTGTAAGTGGAGGGTCCACTGTAATGGTAGACAGCCAGTTCTGGTAGCCCGTGTAGGTTGTGAATCAGCTTCCTCCTTTTGACCTCTGTCCAGCTGTCGCTTCATGAGAAAGTACAGTAGGGGCAGAAAAATATGCCTTTCAATGGAGAATGGTCCTGACTCCCTGTTAGATCTGAATCTTAAAAATGGTTGGGGAATATTTCGTCTAGTTTCTTGAGCTTCACTTGATGGGTCATAAACAACCTAAGCCCACGGCAACATCACCACCTTCTGAATTTCCAAGGAGGATGGAAGAGAAAGCAAGTGTAAGAAAAGAAGGGAAAACGAAAGGGCCGGGGAAGCAGGAAAGCATATAAGACGTTAAAAGAAGAAAGGAGCAAAAAGGAGCGAGTCTCATCTTACAAGTTGAGGTTAAAGTGGATCCCTGGATCCCAGATCTGGAAATGGTAAAGAATGTTAAGCTAGCTGATGAGAGCAACTGATGATCTAAAAATTATTGCTACTCAGTTGTGCTTGTGGAACTTCTGTGATGTGCCACCAGTAAAAAGTAGCTTTTCTGAGCCCTGCTAATTAGCTGCCGAAGACTTACAGTGGGAGCCCGAGTGGACCCCTTCGCTCGGCTGGGTGTGAAGAATTGACCTCCTTGAGCAGCTTCCTGATCCTCCAGGGCATTCCCCCCCATCCCCCTTTTCACCTCGGCCCTGTCCCGCTTTCAGCCCCAGTTCCCGTTGTTTGCTTTCACAGGAGAAACATACTGCCTTGTGTGTGTCTGTTTCCTCCCTTTGCCCAGGTCCATTTCTTCAACAGTTTTTTCTACGATAAGCTACGAACCAAGGGATACGAGGGGGTGAAGCGCTGGACCAAAAATGTAAGTTGTCGCCATGGCTGGCTAGTGACTACGGGGCTTGTAGCCCAAACATGTCTGGGCGGCTTTGGAGTGGAGAAAAAGAGGCTGTTTCCGTGTTTGCAAAAGCCGTCATAGTAGCACCGCTGCGTTTTACCTTGAGGGAAGCGATGCTTTTAGAACGAATGAAACGGAGAAGAACATTATTAGACTTTCAATTTTGTTTAAAGTGTGGAATTATATAGAAGGAAATGAGTTTCACTTCTTTCATCCTTAAAATTGGTGACAGAGAATTTGGTTCAGGTGTGATTTTAAAATCTGGAAAGAAAAAAAATTGTTTGGCTACAAAGCTTTAATTTGTTAGAACAGCGTACTTATTTATTTATTTTTTATTTTATATTATTCGATTTTTACCCCACCCCGCTAGACAACGTATTATCATCTTTAGAACTGAAGGGAAAATAAAACAATACAAACGCCCTGTATTTTGGGTAATTCCACATTTCATTAACCTTAGCAGGACCTGCCAGAACAAATGGAATCAATTAACCAAATTCGGGAGGGAGAGATTGAAAAGAATGTTGATTCCCTGAGTTGTTACTAGTATACAGTAGTAGAGGATCTGAATAGCGGTTGGGATCCTCTTGTCTAAGTTGACACTTGATTCTGAGAAATTGTGTAGGTCTTGGCAGTAAATTGCCAGTCATGACAGAAGGGGTGGCTCCATTCCTTAGCAGGCACATGTTGAGCAACGGAACCAGCATTTCCCACCCGGACTTAATACAGTTTCCCCAACACAAGGATACCTGACCAATAGGACTCTGCCCTGTATGTTCCAATGAGTACAAATAAAATATATGGAAAAAAGAATATAAACAATATATTCCCATATTTGGTGGGAACTGTGTTTTGGCAAAAAGATAAAGCAGCAATTATAAAGACAGCAGCAAAAGTAGGTCCTCGTTTCATGGGTTTCTAAACCATTTTTAATAGATTGTTCTTCCAAAGTGGTTTACACTATTAAGATACAATTCCTTCAAATCTTATATTTTACTTCTTGAATCAGGTGCAGATGAATTTGTGTATCAACCTCCTAAGAACCGACAAATACGGGGTTTCATAACCAGAGTGTTATAAGTTGGTTGAAGCTGCAAAAATTAACATTGGTGAATGAATTTGTAGATAAAAATGTTTAGCTCTTGTGCCTAGATTGGCCCGTTATGTCAATTCTTTGACAGAAAGCAAGCGAGGATGGGATAAATTTGTAGGCGAAAACTGTAACTGCTGTATTTTTTAAAGGAGCATGATAACACTGCATGCAGAGTTTTGCTTTCCATTATGCTAACCTTATGAACAATGGGAAGAAACTGAAGAGCATAATTATATTGGATTTCTGGATGTGTTCACTTAAAAAAAAAAGTTAAAGAAGATCGGTGTTCTTCCTCTTTGTACAGTATGGCCCATGCTAATCCGCTAACTCTGTTTCCCTTTCAAAATCCATTTTAAAGCAGACGATACGCGAAAGCTTGACTTTACCCTGCTTGTTCTTACCTTCTGTATCTTGGAGCCCTCCAGTGGTGTAGGACTCCACAATTTAACACACTCAACCAGCATCTGGAAGGTGCCAGGGTGGGTGGAAGCCTGCTACTGTAGGGCCGTGTACGGAGTCCTAGAAGATGTGAGGACCTGAGGGTTGTTGCCATTAAGGTGGAACTACAGCATCCCAGAAAGGACGTGGGTGGCGCTGTGGGTTAAACCGCAGAAGCCTCTGTGCTGCAAGGTCAGAAGACCTGCAGTCGTAAGATCGAATCCATGCGATGGAGTGAGCCCCCATCGCTTGTCCCAGCTCCCGCCAACCTAGTGGTTCGAAAGCATGCAAAATGCAAGTAGATAAATAGGTACCACCACGGTGGGAAAGGTAAAAGCATTCCATGCCTCGATGCACTGGCCACATGACCACAGACGATTGTCGGCGGATAAAGCACTAGCTCTATGGGTTGGAAACGGAGATGAGCACTGCCCTCTAGAGTCGGACACGACTGGACAAATTGTCAAGGGGAACATTTACCTTTACAGCATTTCTATCAGGATGTGTGGATTTCAGTACTCTCTGTGTGTGTGTGTGTGGATTTCAGTACTCTCTCTCTCTCTCTCTCTCTCTCTCTCTCTCTCTCTCTCTCTCTCTCTCTCTCTCTCTCTCTCTCTCTCTCTCTCTCTCTCTCTCTCTCTCTCTCTCTCTCTCTCTCTCTCTCTCTCTCTCTCTCTCTCTCTCTCTCTCACACACACACACACACAGAGAGAGAGAGAGAGAGAGAACTACTGCCAGGGAGAGCAGCTCTACAGAGCTGAAGTGCTGTGGTTCCTTTCCTCCCCTCCCCCTCCGCCCTCAGGTGGACATCTTCAACAAGGAACTGCTTCTCATCCCAATTCATCTGGAGGTTCACTGGTCCTTAATTTGCGTAGAGGTCAAAAAGAAGAAGATCACATATCTGGACTCCCAGCGTACCCTCAACCGGCGGTGCCCAAAGGTAAGGTGGGGGGGGGACTGTGGGTGGCCCAGGGGAACAGCCCCTCTTCTCTTCTCTTCTCTCAAGAGGCCTGACAGCTGCTGTGACTTCAGATTCCCGATCGTGGCCGCCTTCAGAGAACCGGGAGAGTTCCTTGTGCCTTCATTCGTTTGCCTTGATGGTTCAAGCTCCTCTCGCTCCCTGTTCCTTAGGCCAGCCGTCCCCAAAAAGGTGTCCCTCCAGATGGGTTGGACTGCAACGTCCATCCTCCCCAGGCCCCTCAACAAGGCTTCAGCCCTTTCTGTTGCTTTCCTGGAACATGAAAAGCTCCGATGGGAATCACTGGCCTGTCGGTTGAAGACCGAGTCCTCTGTGTTGCGCTTTAGAGACGTTGCCTTTTGAGCCCTCTCTTCAGCTTGGGGCCTTCCCTGTCTTTTGAGTGATAACTCCCAGGCCAGCTGGTTCTAGAAAAAAAAAGGTTTCAGACTGCAAGGAAGGCATCCTTGTCACCAGATAGCAGTTTTGGGGGAAGGGGGGGGAGTTTAAAACTAAGTCACCCTCGACACTGCTGGTGTGAGCTGGGAATCAAACTTCAGGCAGGCGTGCACGTGCACAAACACTGGATGGATTGTGCTGATCTCTCCTTTCCTCATCCCAGCACATCTGCAGATATCTGCAAGCTGAAGCAGACAAGAAGAACCGCCCAGACTTCAGAGACGGGTGGAGAGGAGTTTTTCAAATGGCAAGTATCCCTTAGTACTGCGGGGGGGGCGTGCAGTGGGGAGAGACCGAAAAGCAGAAGGAAGAGCACCTGCTGGCCTTTATAGCCGGGAATACCCAAGGATGGGGCTCAAAATTCAAAAGCAGAGCTGCTTGTTGCCTTTACTGCTGACGATCTCTCCTGGTTTCCTCCCCTATGCTGCGATCCATCTGGAGCTTCTGGCACTCTCCGCTTGCACTGTTCTCTTTGCTTCAGCACAGAAGAGTTAGCCAAGAATGCTTCAAGAGGCTACGGAGAACCATGTTGGGTGGGAGAAGGGTGGCCTGCCCACACGTCTCTCCTCTCCTATTTAAAAGTTGATGTTGGGCAGCTAGTGGTCTAAGGAGGGTGACTTTGGGTCTTTCAGGAGGCCAGAAAGGAGAGAGAAAGATGAAGCAGAATTGGAAAATTTGCTAATTTGGACGATGGCTAGCAGGCTTCCCCAGCCAGGCTGGTTGAAGGATTCTGGGAGTTCTGACCGGAAGAGTAACTTTTCCAAACTCTGAAGCTCGTCTCCCAACTTCCCCGTCTGTCTCTTTTCCTTCTCATTCCTTTCCAAACCGCCCCCGTCCAAAATACCTCTGTGATTTCCTCCTCCTCCTCCTGCTTTCCTTGTAACCTCATGACTTTATAGTTTGGCATAGTCAAAGGAGAGAAGGAGAGAAGAACGGCAGCAGGATTAGAGAGGTTGGGGGGGGGATCTGTCATGGCTGGCTGCCATGGAATAAGCCACCTGCTGAGATCTTGGTGGGGGTGGAGGAAGAGGTGGGGAAAACACAAATCCGTCCTTCGCTTCTGTAGCAAACCGGCAGCAGGTTTGGTTAAGCCATGTACTGTAACCCTGACAACTCTCTGAGCTTTAGAGGAAAATGGAAGCGGGTTTATTCATTCATATGTGCCTGAGGAAGACAACAGGCAGGTGAGTGTCCCAGAAAAGGGGGGGCAAGAGGTGGAAACACACCTCTCCTCCCGTGGTGGTCCGAGGCGGTGGCCCTGTTGTTCCTGCCTCAGCCCCTACCCTGTCCTGATGGATCTTCCGCTTCTCTTCCCTCAGAACATTGCCAGGCAAAACAATGACAGCGACTGTGGAGCTTTTGTCCTGCAGGTAAGAAGAACAGTTGGCTTGGGCTCCAGGTCCATTGCAATCCCAGATATGGACGGACGGACACACATGCACACGCACGCACGCACACACATAGTTGGCTTGGACTCCAGGTCCTTTGCAATCCCAGATACAGACGGACGGACATGTGCGTACGCACGCACGCACGCACGCGCACACACACACACACACACACACACACAAACTCATGTGGGGAGCCAGAACTTTGGGAGAAGACGGGTTTCTGTCATGATGGGTGTTGTCTTCAATATATCAAAGCTACCAAGGACTGGACGTCTAATTAGCGTAACTGGCAGGTTAACCTGAAATGTAACTAAAATGAAATATTTACGGTATTTGCATGGATAATTTGAATTACTTTGGCACAGGTTTTTTAAAATGTGGGAGAGATGGTGTGTGTGGAGCTACCACCAACACCACCACTCTGCCTACCGCTGAAAACCCTGGTCCCTCTTTTCATTGGGGCTCGTAACGGTGGCTCCCAATTCTGTTTGCTTGTACTGTATTTTTCCGTGTATAAGACTATACTTTTGTCTAAAATCTTTAGAATAAAAATTGAGGCTCATCTTATACACAGAAGTAAGCTGAGGAGAGAACAAAAACAAGTGGAGGGGAAAGCAGGGATCAAAGCGATCCTGCAGTGCTTTAATCCCTTTCCCCCTGCACTTGCTAAGCCCCACTTATTTTTCTTTGGATTAGAAAAGTGGGAGTGTCTTATACATGGGGCGTCTTATACACTGAAAAATGTGGTATATCCTTTCCGGTTGTGAGGTGTTCATAAGCTCTCTCCTACTGCTTAAACCTCTTTCCGGTTGTGAGGCCTTCATAAGCTCTCTCCTACTGCTTAAACCTTACTGAGAGGCTGCTGTTGAGTCCTCACACCTCAGCCGCTGAAGCTGTTCGGTGGCTTTATCTGGGCCGCACTTTAAACGTGTGAGAAAGGGGTGCAAAAACCAATGTCACTCAGTTTCTGGGCAAGAAAATGTATTCTGTATTCCACATTTCCTGCACTGAGCTCAAGGCATTGTACATACGGCACGCACTGTCTCCACACACACCCTTCCTCTTCACCACACACACGTGAAGGCGACCACACAGTAAAAAGTAACACGGCTCAGCTTGTCCAGTGCAAGTCAGGCCTCAGTGGGTGCAAGTTGCCAACCATAGGCCTCTCCTTGAGACAGCCAGTCCATGCTGAGTATTCCTGCTTGAATCTGTCACTGGAAAAGACCGGGATGTGTCAGTAATCATTCTCTTTTCTCTCTCTCTCTCCCCTCCCCCCCCCGGTTCTCTCTCATGTGTCTAGTATTCCAAATTTCTGGCTCTGGGCCTCCCCTTCGCATTCACACAGCAAGACATGCCGAAACTCCGCCGACAGATGTACAAGGAGCTGTGCCATTGCAAGCTCCTTGCGTGACAAGCTTGCACACACTCAAGACATACATACCTATACATACACACATGCACACACACACCCCCCTCTCTCTTCTCCACTGCTGCCGTTGCCGCCTTGGACCGTCGGAGACCCTACTCCCCCTTCCCAGCCACTGGGAGCGGCGCCCACCAGAGTCCTCCTTCCCCTTCTCGGGGCGCAGGTTGTGACGTCATCCCACTCGGGGCGGCTACAGAGGACTTTTAGGTCACTGGAACTCTTTAAGGTTTGATAACCGGACTCATCAAATTTTGGTTGGGGGGGATTTGTTCTTTTTTTTTTTAATCCAAGTTGCCCCCTCCCTTTCTTCTCTTCCTGGTCTTTCTCATTTTTTTGTTTTTGTTAATATTTAAACCCAATACAGGGTGAGATTTATCTTGTTTGCTTCTTTTTGGGACATGGGGTGGGGAACGTAAACCGCACATGCCCTTCTGCCATCTCTCCACTCCAGACCGGAGGGGGGGGCATGGAGCCCAGACATGGGGACCAGGAAGGGAGGGGGAGGGATCGTCCTTGCCCCCCCCCTTGACTTCTCCCTCTGCTTTATCACCCTGTTGGTTACTTGTGTTAGTGGATAATGTATGTTCTTCTCTCTTTTTTTCCCCTAGAGGGAAAGAGTTGGAA